CTCCAGAGGTGGCTGGGTCTGTGATGCTCTTCAGGTGTTTTTTGCCTTTAGGGATGTTATGCTGAGTTTTCTTATAGAAGAACAGAAGTGGGAAGACAAACTTCAAGATGACTCAAAAAATAACATAAAAAAAGTGGAATATATTCCATCACACTTCTTGTGTTAGCTTAAGTGTGACCCACGATGGATTTTCAGGAGTACAGTACACTGCAGTTGTGATTATATGGGATTTTTATACTATTAGTTTCTCAGACAACAGCTCATTAGTAAATAATGGTCTTAGAGAATGGTGATAACTGTGTACCTGTGCCGCTAACTTTAATGTACAGCTTGAGGAGAATTTCTCACCATATCATGCAGGCCTATGTTCTTTCACTGCTTTTGCATGCATTGCAGGAGCTGTAGTGACAGAGATACTGAAAAAACTTTTGGGTTATTTTTTACCTTTTTCTTAAGTGCTCTGAAGGAGTATAGTGCCTCACAGGTTTGTAGAAGTCAAGTTTCCTTCTTTGACAGACCTTATCATCCTGAAGAATGTGTCAAGAACTCGTGTAATAAAGAATTGTGATACGGATTGTTGTCACTGAAGGAGCTGTGTTCCTCACAGGTACCTGCAGAGCAGCGATGGCGACGGAGTCTCCGCGCCGCCCGAGCCGCTGCACCGGAGGAGCGGTGGTTCGCCCACAGGCTGTCACGTAAGCACCCTCGAGGAGAACAGCCCTCATTTGAAAACGTGGTTATTTTCCTCTAGCAGAAGAACCTAGCCTGAGTTTTCATTCCAAGCCAGCTGTGTGGGCTTGTGTGGACAGTACGGTGTCACTGCGCTGGGTATTTTCCAATAAAATAAAGAGATGTTACAGTCCTGTCCCCTAGGGATGCACAGGTCAAACTGTGAGCCTCAATGAGATGCTTTTTGCTTATGCACCAAAACCTTCCAAGTTTTACATTTTAAAGATGAATATCTTGCAGTGTTTTGTTTGTTGGTGCAGTTTTGTTTGCTGTACAAACACTACACTACCTGTAGGTCAGTGACTGCGAACTCCTTCCTTGGGCTGGAAGGAACATGTGGAGCATGTCCCTTTCTTCCTGGTCTTTTTAATGATACCTGGTCACAGCAGGGGGTATATTAAAACATACAAGCCTCTCAGTAAAGTCCTTCAGTAAGTAGCATTGTAGATTCTGATTATTTTTTGCTTAAGAGAAAATCAGGGACAAAGGAAGAAGCTGCCTCTGTCCAGACAGACAATTAAGAGACCACTCTTTTGCTTGGGCATCCTTGTTTTCATGACGTTCACAGGAAAATACTTTCATGGCAAAAAAGCTTAGTAAGACCATGTAGAAAATTTATGGTCTTGTCTCTGCTACAGGATTTTTTGTAGCAGTTTTCATTTTTTTTGGGTAGATGTTTCTACTGCAGAATTGTTGCTGCAAAATGGCACCGTGTTGAAAAGTTCACTTCAAAGTTTAGCAGCTTTTAGTTTGCCACTGGAGATAACTGTGTTTCAACATCAAGACTCACTTTATTTTCACCAGGGAGCACAATAAACCCATCGTTCTAACACAGACAGTTAGATTAGGGGTTTATCTTACAGCTATGTCATAGAATAAGCTTTTTTGTATGTTGCAGAATTTCTCAATAAACGCATTTGTTTGTAATGACCTTTTCTCCAAAGTAAGCTTTCAACAAATAATAATGGACCACCACTGCCAGAATGAGATTCTGTTCTTTTGTTTTATTACGTATGGTGGCGTGTTCTTGAGGTATCTTTTTTAACCTCAAAGATTGCAGTGATTTCCATGAGTTTGTGTCCGTTGAGCAGCCTGCAGCAGTGTTCTGCTGCTTATGTTCAACTCCTAGTTTCTTACTAACAGAAGATACTTTTTTTTTTTTTTTTCCTGGTGAGTTTTGTTGGTTTTAAGCACTTTAAAGATATCTTTTTGGCAGTTTTTCAACTTCAGGAGAGATATAGAGTTCATATACTGAATAAAACATTTCCCAAGCATAACTTTGTTTCATGATGTACTGGGAAGGGGCAGGGGGGAAGTACTCGTTTCCTAAGCTCAAAAATGAAGACAGTATGACTCTGGCTGGTAGGCATTCACAGGGTAACTTCAAACACAGTATTTAATGTTATACCAGGAGACAGGTGTTATTGCTAGGTAATAAAGGGCTCTGAAGGTACACGGAGTCGTTTTGGTGACCTACATAAATAAAAGAAGAATCAGCACTATAAACCACAGCTTGTTTATAAGGCCTCAGCTTAAAGCAGTAAGACAAACTTTGATGCAGTGATCTTTGGGTTACTGAACAAAGTCTAGTTTCAGCTTGAGCTGAAATAAATTTTCTAAATTTTCAACTTTATGGTTCAGGTTTATCTTTGTTTTCAGAGAGGAGTCCATCAGTTAAGCTGATGCAGGCATTGCAGCATTTCACTTCTGTATTGCTGTCTGTAGGGCAGAGTACTTTCTGCAGTTTCTGTTAGAAGAATCTTACACAGCAGTTTCAGAAAGCTTATGTACCTTTGCACAGCAGTAGTCTAGATTTCCTAGTTTATGATTTTTTTCTTTGCTATTAAGTCTTTTAGTTACCACAAGAAAAATTACTACCACTATAAAAATTAATCTGGGGGCTGCCAAAGCTGTTACCGAATTTTTATTATTTTTTTTAAATTCTGAGACTTTATGAAGTTAGTTCTTGCTTTCAGCATATTGTAGTTTTACTCCTCAGAGAGCACAAACTTTTTGTCTGGTTTCAACATGGTTTTTCTAATAGTCACCCCACATTGTACGTTGCTCAGTGGTTACACAAGAGACTTGCTACTTACACAAGGATAACTGAATAAAAGCATTGGTTCAAAATCTACCAGAACAAATGTATCTTGCTCTGTATACTGTTATAAATCATTGCTGATAACGACCTTCCAAGAAGGAATAAGCTCCTCAAGATATAAAATTTTACCTAAAAATACCTCTCCTTACTATTCTTAGGGTTTTGTTCTGTCTCCTGCCCCCAGGTGCTACCCCTTACATCATCGTGGTACGTAAGGCACATGGGGTCTTAAAGTTTACTCACCTCACAAGGAGAGCCCCAGCCTGCAGCTTAAGTCCTCATCTTCATGTTGTAGTACACAAATGAAGTAGAAAAATGCTGAAGGATAATTTCCAAGTGCCTGTTCTACTCCAGTCAGCCTCTCTGATGTGGAGAACACGGTTTCTTTCTTGACTGTTACATTTTCTACTTCTGCCCCAGGCAGTTATTTCAAAACCAGGTATCACTTAGCTTTTTGCAGACTTATAGGTCATGATTTACATTAGCCGAGTGTTTGACAGTGTATTAAGTAACTGCATTTCATGCTTTATATTATCCTTTGCACTAAAGATTGTACATATTTTCTCTGGTGACATATTTAATATACTCATGACTGTTTTGAACTTCAGTGGTGGTTAAAGTTCTCCTCCTGCTTTCCAGGGAGCAGTCGTATATGGAAAGTGTCGTTACGTTTCTTCAAGATGTTGTGCCACAGGTATGTGTAGAACTTTAAGTTTTCCATGTACAAAGCTGTTGAAGCATGTGTCAAAATATTCCCAAAAGATGTGGACCAAAATATCAGTCAAAAACCCCCCAAGAAAAGTTCTGTTTTGTCTGAGTATGAATCTTGAGACCAGGTTTTTGGAGGCTTGGACTGCGAGCCACCTGAAAGTTGGGCCTGCAAATTTCCTCTGGCAGGTAGTGGTTTAAATGAAAATCTTGTCTGCACAGAAGCTCAGGAATTGCAACACAAACAGCAGGAAGAAGATTGCAGCAGTAGAATTGTTGGGGAGGAGAGCGACTGGGTGCAGTACTTGCTCTGCCTCTTACCAATATGTTTTTTTCTGAGCTGTAGTTGGAAACCTATGTGTGAACCCTGGCTGGATTGGTTAGAACATCCTGGTGGGCACCCTTTGTGACCTTAGCTTTTATCCTTGACTGAAAAGGGGAAAGCTTCTTCTGCCTCCTTTACTCCCTCTTTTTTATTTTGTTTCCTTAGCCTGACCAGTCATTTCTCCAGCATACTGAGTTTTCCAAAGCAGGAGCCCTTACTTTGCTTTTTCAGATTTTTTTTTTTATTTCCACTTCTGGGATCTTCCTCTGCAGGATAACTGTGATGCTTCTGACTGCTCTTGTCATAGTTTTCTCAGGTAGCAGCAGCATAAACCTGGGGTGGTCACTTCTGTGTTGCTCGCAGGCCTCTCAGGAGCAGAGGGAAAATAGATTTTGTTTTATTACTCTTTGGGAAAGCTGTAGCCCACAGTGGGGAAGCACTGCAGCTAATTGGCTGTAGCCTCAGGAAACTGTCTTGGTTCTTATTTGAAGAATTATCTTGGTTAGTTAGTCATGAATTTACACAATAAAAGCATATATTTAAAAAAAAATCCCCTCACTAATAGCAATTTGTGAAATGCATTTTGGACTGATGGTCAAAATTAAAAATAGTCAAACTTTCGTTTAAAAGATTTCTCCATTCCACTCACGCCCCCATTTTCCCTGTCTAGTTAAAGGATACAGTCTGTGTTCTATTTTACAAATCAGTTTGCCTGGAAAGCATGGAATGTGATTTGTTTTGAAAAGTAATACCCACACTTATTTTTTAAATGTGTATTTTTAGTTCATGTTATTGCTCTTCTGGCATGTCTAAAGCGATTATACAAGCTCTTTTCATATTTAATCCAAACTACTGCACAGCATTTTGTTATAATTAATTTAGAAGTGATGGTATTTCTACTGTAGCTCGCATTCTTACTACCACAGTTTCTCCTGAGAACTGTAAAACTCACAGTTTGGAAACACTGCAAGTCTGCTGCACAGTTCCTTTTTGTATCCCATCTTTTTATAGGAATCTGTAGAGCAGAAAACTGAAACCTAGATCTGTTCTACTGGAATTACAGTTTATTCTTTTCTAAATGGCTGTATTAAAGATGTCACAAATATAACTACAGCATGCCAGTAAAATAAACTGTGTAGTAAAGGTCTCTTTCTTTCCTCAGTCTTGCTTACAAAGCTTTTAAGGGAATTAAAGAGAATTTTAAAAGAACCTCTACATTGCTTTTGAAAGCAGCATACAACTGCTGAAGTTAAAGATTGTAGGAGCCACTGTATTTTAGCTTGACTAAATTACTCTAAGTCACATGGCATTTCCAAGCTGCTCTAGAAGACTCACTTTTGCTTATGTCTTGTCATTCCTACATTAGTAAGTGATGCTCTGCATGCTGAGTTGTCTTTAGTGTGGTGCATGCTGGTCATGGAACCATTCAGTTTTGAAACAACCTCACAGGAATACTGATGGCAATAAGACAGATCTCTTTTTACTTTTTTAACTTGCATTCCTTCCTACGGCCTATAGAGGGAGGAAAAAGTGTGATAAACTTTATTTCAACCCTTTTGCTTTTTGTCCAGGCCTACAGTGGTACCCCACCAGCAGAAGAAAAGGAGAAGATCATTTGGGTCAGATTTGAAAATGCAGATTTGAATGGTATGGCTTCATTTTCTCTCACTTCTTGAAGTAACTGAGTATCTTGGAATTGTTTGTGGTGTGTGGTATGTGCTGGACCTGGGCAACTAAGGGACCTGCCTTCTGGACAGCGCTGGATTTAAGGCTTGCAGCAACTTGCAGCTTCTTGTCTGCCATCTTATTTTCCTGTCTAGAACTCATTCTGGTCTCTGAAGTAATAGCAACCATAGCCAAAGCTGTGATGGGAATTTTCAGCCTTTCCAGAGGTTACTAGGGATGATGATGTGTTTTCCAGCTGTTGAAATGGCACAGAGGCTGGCAGTTTGTAAATTCACAGTTACTAGAACTAGGAAACACCCATCAACCTGTACATGGCCTTATGTCCAAACTTAAGCTTTGTTTGCTTATGGATTTGCTTTCCTTATTTGTTCCTTTTTAGAAAATCCCAGGCATTCCCTATTTGGATACTTTTCTACAGTATAACAAAAATAACCTCAGAGTATTATTCCAAATCCTTCATATTCTATTTCAATTTAGTTTTTATGCAGCCTAATTTGGGCCTGAATACATCCTCTTTCACCATCTTAAATATTTCCTTTCTTTCTTTGATGCTTACACATTTGCAGTGAGCTTTTGTTCATTCTGTCATAGTTGAAAATGTAGTTTTAGAGGGCTTTACTCAAGAAAGGCTTAATATTTTTGATTATTATGTCCTGTAGCACTTTTCTTCCTGGGGATTTTCTTCTTTTGGTAAGGTTGGTGTAAAGATTAATTGCATAGTATCTAGAAATAGTTTTGACCAGTCCATGCATTTGTAATTCCTGTATTTGTTAATGTTTATTTTGTCAGTCTTCTGCAAATTTTTCTCTATTTGAAAAGTTTGCCATGTTTTATTAATCACTGGAGAAAGAATTACAGAAGTTTTTGGGGTATTTAGTGATAACTCACATTGTAATCCAGAAAATTTTTCCCAGTCATTTTAAATTTTAGTGCTTTCTAACCTCTCTGTGAAGCTTTAACAGACCTATTATGTTTGCCTAAAGGTATACATTTCACTAGTGTTCCAGCATGAAAATTCAAACCTTCTTGCTTGCTTTTACTTATGACAACAGAAACTTGCATTGAGAAAACATCATGTAGGGTAACTGGCACCAGCCAGAGCTGATCCTGACCTGCTAATAATGGCTTTGATACTTAAACCCAATTTAGATACAACAAGGAATATGGAGTTCCATGAGATACACAGCACTGGGAACGAGCCCCCGTTACTGCTGATGATTGGGTACAGTGATGGAATGCAGATCTGGAGCATCCCTGTAAGTACTGAGGCCACTTCTGTGCCACGGGCTGTTCTGTTTGTTAGGCTGTGTTATTACTTTAATATTTTACTTTTAATGTTTCCTATTGATGTGGAAAGAGCCAACATTTACCATCAATGTCAAATGATCTGTATGTAATATGCTTATCTTGAGATTAATACTGAGCATAGATCAAACACTTGAATTCATGTACTTGCAGATTTGAGGCCTTTTTACAAATTATGCCAGTTAAGTAAATTTTCAGGGTCACACTGGGAGTAGTGCTTGACATTAGGGAACAGTTTGGATCTCAGAAGGGACAGAAAGTTTTTAACCTACAGAAAGGAATAAGGGTGGCAAAATAAGAGAAAAATTTGTCCCAGGACTGAATGCAAGCATGACAGTATTGATAGTATTTTACAATCACATGTTTGTCATGTACATGATTTGCAATTTTAATTTTATTAAAGTCTATGTGTGCATATGGGTTTGATTTCGTGCTGTCATACACATACTCTGCAGTTTGTGTTTGAGTGGTTTATGAGCACATGGTCTTAATTTGGGGAATTTCCCCAAAATTTCTTGGAACTACAGAATAAAGTTTAATACAGTAGGTCATAAAATTCTTAAAAAAAAAAAAAGCTTGTAACACCTTGTCCTTCAAAATAATGTAGAGAGGATGGAGTTTTTTCCCCTTTGTGAAATACACTAGTTTTTTTAGAAATATGTATTTTTTAAAATGACTATTATTAGCTATGTAGGACGTGCTTATATGCCAGTAGCTTAGACAGTATAATAGAAAGTAACTTTTGGTGTGCAAATGGACATTAAGTGGAACTGAGTTTCCCTGGAGTGTGGCAGAGTTGGCTTTTCCCCTCCCAACTGCATACTGTTAGCTGGAGATGAAGAAAAAAAACCTGCTGAGCTTTTGCATTTGAAGGAGGGTTTAACAGAAATGAAGACCTAGTATACTTCACTAAATTTCAGTACTTTGTAACTTTTTACTAAAACTTAGGAACTTGAATGAAAATTTAGGAACATGTTAGCCAAAATGTAGGAAATTTATCTTTGGATTTTGTTGGGTGTTGTTTGGTTTTGTTTTTTTTTAAATCTGCCTTACACTGGAATGACTTTGAATGCCAAGAATGGGAGTTTTAGTGTATAGTTAGGTGTGTACACTACAGTTTTAGAGTATAGTTAGGTGTGTACACTATTTGGAAGACTGATCAGTTTTACGTTAGTGTACAAATATAATGATTTAAATGGTTCAGGGAGGCTTTGCTTTGTTCTTCGAAGTGTATTACAGAAAACAAACATTAGGTGTCACTAAGATACTGAGCTAAGAGAGGAAATGCAGCAGCAGCAGTACCAGGAGTTGCAGCACGGGTTGATCCCGGGGTTGAGTCACGGAATAGTCACATAGACTTAGCTAAAGATTTT